AACCGTGCTCAATGTGGTTATACAGATCAAAGATATGTATTAATTAGTACATATACGCATACCTACATTTTTGGAATGTGACTATAGTTTTGCTGGGTGGTGTTCCAGTTTATCAGGCTGCTTATACTGACCATTTTGTGTTCATATGTTTCTGTGTTGCCACATGACTTTTGCTTGATATTGTAGGCAGTAAACGATCCCTTTCTTTACACTGCATGGGTGGTAGGAGTCAGTCTATGTAAATAGTTACAATACCTCATCTCAGAAATCTAGACAGGTGTTGAGGTTTTCTTTTATTTACTTCCTTAAATAATCCAAAAATGTTGATTTCATCATCTCTTGAGATGTGGGATTGGTAGGGTTACAGGTTTTTCTTAAAGAGGGTAGACACACCTTTTGAAATTCAAGGCAGGGTTTTGTTTTTTTTAAAAATAAATAATTAAAATCTTTAATTCCCAATACGACCCAAATAACAACACCTACATAGACAAGCCACAAAAATGTTAAATAGTTGAATATTGTTAAATTCCTTTTTGCAAATACCTGTTGATTTTTAGGTTTGTATAAACATTTTTTTATTCCTTTTCCTGGATTGGTCAGAGTAGAAGAATGTGTGTGTTTTAACATTGGTGTTGGGTTTTTTAAGATTGGTTTAAAAAAAAAAAATTCTATACAGACCTTTGTCTTTGCTCAATAATTTAGAAAAAAAAAACCTTTTCTTTACTTTTTACCATAAAAGAAACTCTCTTGTAGGTTTTTAACTTCATTTTCTATGAGATCAAAACTATTAGAAATTAGTCGAACTATTAACTTTATTTTTTAATGCTTCAATTACTGCATTACTTAGTCATTAGAGATTGAATGAGCAGGGGGGGGGTTGAAGATAACTGGAGGTGATGTACATCTGAGGAAGATTGGAAAGCCCACCACTTGGAACAGAAGTATTGAAACAAAATTTGAATAATTAATTGCATAATTATAGCTTCAGAACTTTGAATACCACATGACTTAACATGTAAAAATATTTAAAAAAAAAAAAAAAAAAAAAATGTTCTTTTCAAATTAAAATCAGATGCAGAAATAATTTTTACAAGTTATGCTCATGGAATTTTTAGAGGTGGGTTGGGTTGACAATAGCAATTAAAATATCTATTATTCTCTCTTTCTGCTCTTTTCTCCCCCTTTACCTGTATCTTCTCATTTTCTCCCTTATCATTTCTCATCTTTGTTACCTATCCAGGGTTTTAGCTCTCTATTATATTTAGTTTGATATGCAAATACGAAATGAAAAAATATTTTTATTGCATTTATCTTTCAGTCTATCTATAAAGAATTTTAATTGCCAATTTCTATGCCTTTTAATCTTTTACTCATCTCTAAATATCCAACCAACAGGCCTGTCCTTTTTGTCTCAATCCTCTTATCTCTCACTCCGCACACACACACACACCTCTTTCTCTTGTATATAAGAAAAACAATGACAAAGTTGGGAAAATTTTTTATGTGACACATTTTGCCCTTTTCATCGGGTTAAAGTGGTGTTTACCTTATTGTAACTATAATGTAAGCACAATGGAGAAAGGGTAGTGAAATTTTAATCTTTTAAATTTTATTTTTTTAAAATATTTAGATATATAGTCTAGTTAATTTGATTTAGTTTCTTGTTCTGGCATAAAAATTTATATCACACACACATGTGCGTATGAATAGGATAGAATCCAGACAGTTTGATAAATTGGAAAATTGTTTTATTGAATTGATTTACCTGTATTCATCATCATAGTTTTCTACTTTCAACCCAACCATGGGATGCCAATTTAGTGAAAATTGTATTAATAATTTAAATATTAAAGCACTCCAAAACATGCACACACACGCACACACATACGCATTGTAGTATACTAACCAAATCTGTGTCAACACTGCTCAATTCTCATACCCTGCCATTGAATCGTTTGATATTCAGGATTTGGTTTTCTGTTAATTATCTTCTGAGTCATTTTCATTATCAAAATATTTTCCTTTTTTATGCATTTTAAAGATTTAGATTATTTAAAAATAAGGAAAGACCAGTTTGTTTGTTTTGTTTTTTAAAAAATGTTTAGATTGCAGTAAATTAATTTTTCCCAAAACTTTTGTCTATTTTTAATTAGAATCAATTTCATGTTTGTTTATTTTCAGCAAGATATTTTAAAACTTATTGTCTTAAAATGACCTGCACATGTACAAGTTTCGACCATGACCCAAGTAAGATGAATCATCAAAATAATAAGATTCAATTTGAATACATGCTTATTTACATTCAAATCAGATTGTAGTCTTTGTCTTTGTTAATATCATAACATTTCGACCCTTGTGCCTTCATCAGGTGCTTATTGATCCAGGTAACCTCCAGCTGAGTAATGTAGACTTAGATACAATGGAAACATTATCTGAGCAATACTGAATAAGAACAAGACAAGATATCCCTGGACATGACAGCAGAACAAGAACACTCTTTCACTGTAGATTAAATAAAGGGTTCAGTTTGAAATTCCCTGAAGGTTACCTGGATCAGTGCCACCTGATGAAGGCCAGAGAGCATAACGACTGAAACATTAGTCTAACAAAGATGGAGACAATAGTCTAAGTGTAAATAATGTAAATAAAATCCTAATCTCAGAAATTCAGATAGAATTGAATTCAAAATGTTTCATTAAAATTATAGTGTACTGCTATTTACTACTCTTACCATGTGGGGATTGAATTCACTACATTAATGGTAAAGGACCCTCATCTTCTGTCTATTGTATCCACCATCAGTGGAGAATTGAGGCAGTTGAGTTGGTGACATTGAGACACAAGATCTGTTGGGCAGCTTCTCTTGCTGAATCAAGCTGCAAAAAAAAAACAAAAAAAACTTTCCTCTGATTTGCAGTCAATGTATAAAAGCATGTCTCTCACCTATAAGTCTTACTGACTTCAAGGATTGAACCTGCAACAAATGTGGAAAACTCTCCTTGAACTCATAGTGATAATATCAATAGTGATAATTATTGTTATCAATAATTATACTACCAATGCTATAAAATACCACAGGCACAAATTAATCCGTCCAAAATGTAGGCTTTTTAGTGAACACTCTGAGAATGTGACTCACCTGATCAATGGATACAAAATTCTAGCCCAAAAAGAATATAAAAAGTGTTATGGCAAGGTATGCCATAATGTACAGGGTGGTCCGAAAGTCTTGTCACCTCAACCCTCTCTCCCAAACTGTAGGAGTTCATGTCAGCCATCTGAAATAGAAAATTATCATGTAGGGGTGACCAGACTTTCGGACCACCTTGTACATTGGTTATTGTGCTGAGAGTATAGATACCAAGTTGCAAAAAAATTGGTATAAGCATGTGCCTTGAAGGTGAAAAGCCCACAATATTCTGGGACTATGATTTTCAGACACGGTGATACACCATCACCATCCAGATATTATTGTACTAGATATAGACACCAAGAACTGTCATATTTTTTTATGTTGACATAAAGTGACACAAATATAGTGATTCAGAAAATAACAAACTACTTGAAAGTTGAGATGACAAGATTTTTTAGAAGGCAAAAGAATGCCAAGGTGATTCTAGGCAGATTGGGATCAATCCAATTAAAAATGTAACTTCCTTGACCAGCTTGGGATACTGTACCTACATGGAGTCATTCAAAAATTGGCTCTTTTGGGCACTGTACATAGTTTAAGGAAAGTGTTGTCTGTCTGAGGTCCTTGACAGATAATTTAATTTAGCTGGTGTATTAAAAAAGAATGATTATTGGTCCAAAGTGGCCTAATGCGTAGAATATCATAAATGGAAAAATCCTTTAAATTCTGTTTGCAAACTTGTTAATTATGTTTTAAGGGAAGGCAAGAAGTATTTTTTTTCTTTCTGCACTTTTTACTGCTTTCATTCAATGAAATAAAAATAAACAAGAAAAAGTTTCACTCTCTATAATCTCGACCAATGTACCAAAGGATTTCTCCTTTCTCTTACTAGTATCTGTTCTTTCTTTATCTATCATATTTGCCAGTCCTTAAAAATACCTTTTCGCTCCTTGTCTTTTTACATCTTGTTCCTATGTTACATTTTGTATCTTCACGTGTTTCAATTCTTCGGACCCTCAAACTACATCATAGATTGCATCAATGATGGACAATTTTTTTTTTTTATCTCACTTTATTTTACAAGGGAGTTGTTTCTCAGAAGGATGGGAGAGGAAGGTGATTTGGGGGTGGATGCATTTTTCATGTATTTCATCACCATGTACTAGCTTGCCTCTCCAAGGAATCTCTGTGCAGAAGGAATGTTATCCCTTCAAATTCTTGGAATTGTTTCCATGTCTTCATCCTTTTTTGATCTTATATCAAAACTTAAAAATAAGTAAATCTGTCATTCCATATCTATGGCCTCTTCTGGCCAGTATTTTGCCATTCTGAAACTGTCTATGCATTCTATAACACCCTTCATCCCTTATATAAAAGGTATAACTGTATTCAATTATTATAAATAGGAGGCTCATTTACAAAGACTGGCACGATAAACAGATGTTAAATTTTTTGTAAAGTTCACATGATATAAAGTTCAATTCAAGTGGCTCTCTATAAGTTATTCTAAGAGCTTTTTTTAACAATGATACTTCTCACTTGTGGAACTCTCTTCCAACTTCTTGCTTTTCAGTCAGCTTTGATCATCAAAAATTTAAATACAATGACAACTGTTCTTTCTTTTATTGTTCTCTCTCCTTAATGTTTTCTTTTTCTCATATTCTCTCACATTCAGTAACCCCTCCTCTTTGCATCCTAGTGGCTTTATTGCCTTGGTTATGATAAAATGATTTAAAAAAAATTATATTGTTTAATTTTCTTAATACATTGACTAATTTTGCTTATCTTGTATCTTCCAGATCATGACAGCTTTTTTTGATTTGGAATGCAATACTTCTGAGTAAAGGTGGCATTGCCTTCAGCCAGAATGGAGCTGAAAGTTAATGTGGATGGTTATGTACGTGTGGTGTGCGGAGTTACTGAGGAGACTACCTGCCAGGATGTAGTGATTGCTTTGGCTCATGCTATGGGCCGTACAGGACGCTTTTCATTGCTGGAAAAATGGCGGATACAAGAGAGATCTTTACCTCCCTGGGAGCGGCCATTACAAGTTCTTCAGAAATGGGGTGAGTATGCTGCAGAGGTGCAGTTTACGCTTCAGCAGACTGACCGTGAAGATGTGCGGAAAGCAACTGATGCAATCAATAAAGTGGGTATCAGTGGACCAGAACGATGTACCCAGAACTTTTCCCCACTGCCACCTGTAGAATCAAATGTAAAGCGGTCATTGACATTCAGTGGTGCCCACTGTTATTCCCAGTCCCAAAAAATGGGTGGTACCAGTACGTTTGTGCGCCACAGTATTCCTCACAGTACCCCTGAACAATCCACATCATCATATCACACAACAAAACATCCGCAAAACCATTGTCCAAAGCCAGATTACCATCAATACAATCAGCAACAAACTACTTCTTCACAACCTCACAAAAATTTCCGCCAAAAACCCCATCCCCAACAGTACCCTCAGCATAAACCACTCAGTACACAACCAAACTGGCCTCAAAACTTCAGCACCTTCTCAAATCCCCCAAAGCCTATCTCTTCGATTAAACCTCAGCCCAAACCCCGAACACTAAAGTCAGTCACAGAAAAACTGCCCTCACGGACAGTAGGAACTGTATCCCCTATTCAAATTCAAGGACAGTCGACCTCTGTTGGTCGTGCCACCTCCCCTCACAGTCGATTCTCACAGGGCGAAGCAAGAGCTAGTCTAGACCAGGTGTCACACTATACAAGTGGCCCTGAAACAATCAAAATTAACAATGGCAATAGAAGGAATAATAACAATATCAATAATAATATTAATGATGATGATGATGATGACCTTAACTCCAACAGCAGCAATAGTTCTGAACTCCAAATATTAGATAATTTGAACTCTGAAGAGGACAGTATTGATGGGGTCTTAGCTGATCCATCAACACACATTAAAAATGTTCAGAAGCAAAGGACAAAGAATTGCTTTGGTAAGGATATTATGTCTATGAGAAGCCATAACCTTACTCAGATTGAAGAGTATGATTTAGATAAAAACTTTCCCTTGTCATTGAGATCATCACCAGATACGGATTTGGATGAAAATCATGCTGAATGTTATGTGATGCAAGGAGAGAATGAATTTGAAAAGGAACCATCAGAGGACCCAGATTCCCAGGCACTGCTTCAGTTAATCAATATACAACATGAGGAACTTGAATTGCAGAAAGGTCGTATTAAGGATATTGATTTGGGTAAGTAGGCCACCTATTGAATCAATAGATTAGATTTTTCAAAGGTTTGTTTCTTTCTTTCTTTGTTTCTTCCCCCTCCAAATATCATCTTTCTTATATTCACCTGCTTATGAAGAAATCAAGTCAAATGCAGAACATATTACTTTTTATTATACTTTTTATTATAAAAACTGAGAAGTTGAGCATATGGCAAAATGGAGTCTGTTTTCATTACAACCAATCAAAAGCATGGATTAATATTTAATTTGCATATAGTTTGACTTGTATTCATTCAATTTGTTTGTTGGTGTGATACCATAACTGTAAAATGGCACATTTTAGCAAAAGGTTTTTATCAGAGCAGTACCATTAGAATCAATAAGAAAGCAATAAATCATGAATAAAGCAAATTCCAGTCCAATTTGCTATTTAATGTGGGAGTCTGCATTCATACTCACCCTGATAATAATGAAAATTAACATTGGAAATAGTAATTTTTCATTCTGTTTTTTTTTTTCTTAATGGTTGCCGAAAATAGATACCTGTTTTGTTGAAAAAAAGTTTTAATTTTTAGACAGAAATATATAAATATATAGTCATCATTATTTTATGCAAAAATTATTAAACTTTTCATTTTTTTTTTTTTTTTCTTCCATCATGACTATCTTTCTACACTTCACTTAACAAATAATTTTTCAAAATGTTTGTTCAAGAATTATTTAAAACTAGATTCCTGCTGATTAGCAATTAATAATACAAGTAAATCTAACTTTAAATTTTAAATATAGTTGGAGTTTGGCTAATTACAGAGTAGTCGCCCTTATTTAAAATATTTTGTAATTTGCCAAGCTCCAGCTATATTTAAAAAATTAATAATGTAAATTATATAAATAGGAAGTGAGTTGATATGAAGCTTAACAGCAACTATTGTCAGCCTTTAAACAAATACATAATCTCATGGATTTATTTTTTTAATTGTACATTTTAAGTACATTAGTGTATTTTCAACTATAACTGGTTTTGGCAGTTGTCTGTCTTGGAAAAAGTAGAATTTGTAACAAAGCATCCAAATGTTGCATGCCATTTAATATGTTGGTATCATAAACAGGAGGTCAGACCTCCAACTTTACAAAAAGCATTCAATGAAATAAAGAGGGAGCCACTTGTAATCATTTTGACATGAAAAGGGTCTTTTCGATAACAATAACAGGCTGATAACATTAAGAAAAGCAAGTGAAAAAATGAACAATTTACATTTCATTGTTATAAACAGTATTAGAAATGAAAGGAGAAGCAGCAGAATTTGTTTAGTGTGATCACTTGGGGGACTAGATCTTTTAGATAACAATAACCAACTGATAACATTAAACGAAGGATATAAAATTTGGAGCAATTTACATTCTTCTATATGAATAAATATGAAATTGGAGCTTAATTCTCCCACAAATTCTCAGGTAAAAAGGTCCCAACTCTACTTTATAGTAATTTGATATTTACTAGACACCACCCCCACCACAGACGGAGTCACATCATGACACAAGGTCGATTTAATGTGGGGAGCCCAAGCAATTACACCCAGGCTAGGAACAAAAATTCTCTGAGTCCCCGCAACTGTCTGCTGTGCTGGCCTCAGTGTGAACACTGATCCCTCTCTCTGGTGCAATGAGAGGGTGCAGCCTCGGGCAGCTGTTCCCCAAGGCTGGACGTCTCTTGGTATAATTTTTCTCAGTTGTGACTCTGTCCTTTGATAGAGTGGCCCCTGAGTGCACTCTGCCCAAAGACACACACACAACTGAGAGATGATAAATAGATATGTTACAAACTACTTGAAGTAGATATTTACTCAACCCCCCACGAGGTCAGGTTGTGACACAAGGTTGGTTTAATGTGGGGAGCCTGAGTGCATGCACTCGGGCAAGGAACAAAAATTCCCTGAGCCCCTCACAACCATCGGTTGTGCTGGCCTCAGTGCCAGCACCAATCTCTGGTGCAATGGGAGGGCGCGGCCTCAGGTAGCTGTTCCCCAGGGCTGGGCACCTCTTCAGTATAATTTTCTTCAGTTGCGACTCTGTCCTTTGACGGAGTTGCCACTGAACACACTCTGTCCAAGGACAGACATGCAACTGAGAGATAAGTACATGTGTACCTACTCAAGAGTAATTTACACGCTAAAAGCTCAATATCTGTGTTATATATTATCTACTTCTAGGCAATATCAATTTTCAGGTTTAACTAATTTGCATGTTGATTTTAAAAAAGTATATTTCATTAATGAACTGTCTTTCATTAGTGTTCTTTTATTCAAGGATTGTTTTGATTTTCCTATCAAAAATAGTTCTGTTTAGGAATATCATCTTGTATAGTGCAAAAAAGTGTTTGAAATTTGCGTTTTACTTGGCCTTCAACAAGCTGGCATCTATTTGTAAATCCTTCCTTAACCATAACAAGCCTGCCCCCACACCCAACCAATTAATTTCTTCTGTCTTTACAGTCATATTCTTTGAACAAATATATTGAATGTCCACAACCCTTTCAATATTTCATAAATAGAACATTAATCCCATAGAAAAACAATTTTTTTCTAGAAAAATTACCAGATAGCGAGCGGTTGAAGCTTGCTAGTTGTTGTTAAAATCATTGTTATCATTAACTTTAATGATTAAAAATACCCAGAACTTGATTTACAATAATTAGGTAATTTTTTAAATTAATTTTAAATAAAGTATTTAGGAACAACTAATTTTGATAATAATATCAGTGGTTTAAACAGATCCAACTGTACTTTTCTCTCCCTCAAGATTGGTCTATTTTGCCAGCTAAATATTTTTTGTTGGATATAATTTTACCAGTATCAATTTAACATTAAAATGTCAGAATGTGTCAAAAATATATTTACTGTTTATCACAAAATTTTATTTTCTGAGGTTTTTCTTCATTTCCTTTCCTATTTTGTTCATTAAGATGAGAGGGTGCTGAAAAAAAAGTTCCTATCCTAACCAAACATCAGTTCTTTCTTGGTCAGACCAAGAACTTTTTACCCCACTTCTACTTGACAAGGCTTCTTTTTATATTTTTTTTCTCTGAGCAAAGAAAGGTTGAATTTACTTTTTAATAAATATTATAAAATGATTAATTTATTTAAAATCCTGTATAATTTAAATGTTTCTCTAAAGTTATAAACTTCTCCTCCAAAAATAGTTATAAATTCTTTTTTAGTACATCTGAGGATAAAAGGAACAGTCAAAAATACATTCTACTTTTGTCATGCACACACACACACACACACACACACACACACATAATCTCCCAGGTAAGATGAGAACAAATAGAGTACAATTCCAATGTCCATAACATTTAATTTAAAAGAGCAGTATTATTTATTTTATGATATTACATTGAAAATATGTCAAAATGGCTACACAATTGCAGTTGTGTTTCGATGCATATCAATGCATCTCATCAGGCGATTGTAAATTCACTCACCAGTAATTTACAATCACCTGATGAGATGCATTGATACACATTAAAACATAATTGTAATTGTATAGCACACACACACATATATATATATATATATATATATATATATATATATATATAAAATATCCAAGTGAATCCTAATAATAAAAATATTAAAACTGATTCATAAAGAGAGATCAATTTTTTTATTATAACAGAGCATCTATAAATAGATAAATTACATAGAATAGAAATTCAAAATTACCCCATTTGAATAGCTATTTCACCCTGTCAATACCAATGGGTTAAAAAATAAAAATCTCATTCAAATGGGGTAATTTTGAATTTCTATTCTATGTAATATATATATATATATATATATATATATAAGAAATGGACAAGGTCCGACAATTTATTTATTAAAGACATTTTTTTATGTTTAACGTTGTTATTTATAGATACAAGTATTTAAGCAAATGCTCTGTTTATGATAAACAGTATTAAATAACATTTACCGGCCTGAATGTCCTAGAAATTTTCATAGAAAATATTCGTTCTTTGACAGGATTCGAACCTGCATCCTATACGGAACCGTCATTTATGCTGACGTGCCTTACCTCTGGGCCACAAAGAACCTTTTCGGTAGACAAGGTCGAATTTACTGCTTATAAACTTCAATCTTCCATGAATCTCGTACATTCATAACTGCTCTGGCATATCAAATGTAAACAAATGACGTCATATATTAAGAAATTGTTGGACCTTGTCCATTTCGGCTAGAAACATCACTAATGATGCGTAATAATGCATCCAATAGATGTATTTTATGAAATTTCTTTATCACACTTAATTTGTCATAACTGATCCAGACACCGAAGTATTTGAAGTCACAAAGTACTACCTGGGGCACTCAATGAGGGCTCAGGGATAGTACACACCAGTCCTGCTAGTTCTTATAGGGGTCAGTGACTCAAGCAGTCCATGACTAAAGGGGTGCACGACTCAGAAAAAGTTAAGAACCACTGGGAGACAATTACTCTTCACATACTTACACGGTGTTGGGAGAAAGTACCTCTAGTGCAGCCTATTCTATATTCAACTTGAATATGATGTTGAAAGACCCGAAACCCCTAATGAACCTCGGCTAGAAACATCACTGATAATGTGTAATAAAGCATCCAATAGATGTATTTTATGAAAACATTTAGTGTGAAATTTATCCTGAAATAGTCATTAGACTTGTAAATTAAAATAAAACAATTTTTTATTTATTTATTTTATTTATTTATTTTTTTTTTGAAAATCTCAAAAAAAAAAAAAAAAAAAAAAAATTTTTAATTTTGAAAAATATTTAAACATTTTTGGGTATTTAAAATATTCATTTTATTGCTGTTTGGTAGCTTATTTTTGCATCTGTTTTAAAATATTATAATAAATACTGTAACATGGCATTTCAACTATCATTTGTTATTATTGGTTTTACCTTACGTGTTCTTAAATTTCCACCTGAAGGTGATATTAACTGATAAAATATGGAACTACAACAGGTACAATTTGGAAAATTCCTATTTTTGTTTACCTTTGAACAATTTACTTTAAGATACCTAATGTTATTAAACAAAGAAATACTTTCAGGATTTTAAACCTAGGAGAAAGTTGTCTGAAGAACATGCAAACATTACCTTTTAATAAGTGTTTCCAATAATTAAAAAAAAAAAATGAAATTAGAACAATTCTTAAAGGAAAGAGAATGTCTGAAAAAGTAAATACAGCACAAAAAAAAACTTTTTGGTAGCCTCTATCATGAATGACATGTAACCTGACATCAATTTTATTTTTATTTATGTATTTTCTCTTTAATCTAGAAATAATTTCTGTTGAGAAATTGATAGAAACAGAGAAACAAATTGAAGAACTGCAAAGCCTGTCAGATGATTACGAAGAAGAAATGGTCAGCCTTGAACCCTGGCCCCAAATACTTGATGAAGAGCAGCACACAGAGCAGGCATTGTATTCCGAGATGAGCAGCTATAAGCAAAAGATTGATGAATGTGAGGACAGATTGCAAAAAGCACAAAGTCGCATCTCTGAACTAACTCGGGAACTTGAGTTAGAGGTGTCCAAAATTGAAGACGAGATTAGTGACATACAAGACAAGATTAAAAATGGGATAATGGAAGGTGATAAGTATCAGGAGGCCATCAACAGTATCAACAAGGAGATAAGTGAACTGGATTATGAACTTGAGAAAAAGCAGATGGAGGAGTCAAAACTTTCTGAAGAAGTCAAGCAACTGAACTTGAAAGAACTTGGTCAAAAGCCAATTTTGGAAGCAACCAAGCTCTCGGAAACTGGTGAAGGTAAGATTGATTATTTCAATACATGGAATTCTGTAGTCTTTGTTCCTTTGAATGGTGTCATAGAGTATTACCAATGACTATAAAGTTTTTTTTTTTTTTGTTTATACATGTACAAAGCAACGTAATGTTTTCTTGAATTTTTTTCCAGGAGAAGGCCTTTATTGTCATTTTCATTCACTGATAGAATTTTTGCCCATTTTGCAAAATATTAGCATCTATCAAAAGTAGCTTTGCTTTGCATAGTCTTCAAGTGCTAATGCTTAAGTTCTTCTATATATTGCATTTTAAAGTGTCGTAACTAACTGTCTTTCATTTCTGGGTTTTATTTTAATGGATATTTCACCACCCTTAAAATGATTCAACCAATTTTAGTCAGTATGATCGGATAGTTGCACTTTCTTCCGCTTTGAGTCCCAGTTTAAAATACTGCCCCCAAATTACATGAATCTCAATACTTACATCTGCCATTATAACATGAAACAACAAAAAAAAGCTAAATAATGCTGATAATGATATTTTATTTTTAATCATTTCACCCAAAGCAAGGCAATAAAGCCACTAAGATGCAAGGGGTTACAGGATGTGAAAAGAGGGAACAGGATTTTGGAAAACAGAAGATGGTGATTGGCATTGCCAATTTAAATTCTGTGACAGAGAAGCAATAAATCTGGAGGTAGTTCCACAGGCAAGAAGTGTGAGACAGACAAACTATTAGAATAGAACAGATGGTTGCATCTAGCTAGTCCTGCAGTCATATATGGTATAAATGAATGGAATCATCCAGTTATATAAATAAGCAGAGTTGAGGAGAGTTAGCATTAGGTCCATTGCTAAGTGTACCTCCATGTAGTAAACCTTCTATTTCATTACTTACCTACAAGTTTGTCTTCCTTATTTATTTCTCTTTATTATCTCAAAAACATGAGATACAACAGGAATATAAAACATGGTGATTGAGGTTACTTTTAAATTTTAAATTAAATTTTAAATTTTAAACTTATGGTTACAGCAAGCTATCTCATTTGCCAATCTAGTAGTACGCTTAAATTCATACAGTCAAGATATGAAGGAGGAGAGCTCATTAGAACAATTGCCATGAAAATATTTATAGAAAAGGCAGAAAGAAGCCACAAGAAGCAGATGGGGAAAGTGACTGAAGTCGAGATGCCAGGTCATGACCAATAACACTGCAAACACTTCTTTGAATTTTGTCAAGTATCTCGACATATATAGCAGGAACACTAGACCAGATATGGCAGCAATATTCAATGCACAGACAAATGATAGATTTATAAATGTGCAAGATGGATTCTGATGAGAAAAATTGTCTGACATGACACAGTGAAACAACTTTCTTAGGTATCAACCTAACAATTGATTCAATATAATCAATCCACTTCATATTAGTGGAAAATGCAACTTCAAGAAGGCGCAGTGAGTTACTCTCCTGGAGGTTAGCATCAGCCATGTTGATGGCAGGCAGTAAAATGTTCTCTGTGGTGATTAAATAAAAGCAATTTGCTTTGGAGCCATTTAAATTTAGAAGCCATTTCTAGCCCTACTTAACTAATTGGGCGTCCTTTTTGAAAGCAGTTGCCAATTTTACTGTCAGACTTGCTACTAAGACAAGAGTAAGTCAAAAGTAGTCTTGGTTTGAAAATGGATAAAGGAATATAGTTTTTGGGGGTTATTTTTGTCTTCAAGACCAGCAGTTATGGCACTCCACTGATTCCTTTTCTCTATCTAAGAATTACTATGATTTCTTGGTAATGTTAGTGGAGTTTTTTCACCCCCTCTTTGCTTTATCTACAGTTTGGAAATTAGCTTTCCTTCTCTTAGACTGGTTGCCACCCTAGGCTAAAGAGTCCCATCTACTCTGTTATTAACTGAAATCTGGAGGGAGAAGATATTGATTCATACCTTTCCCAAGGCCATAGTTCTAAAAGTGAACCCAACAGCCTATATTGGGATTTGAACTCTGCTTGCTGATTTCACTTTCTATGCTGATAACCACTGTGCTACCTTCACATTCCTTGTATATAGATTAGGATTCATTTTCATATGGAAGAAAAATCTTATTGAACTTCAATTTAGACACTCTTACAATTATAACCTTGCATATTTTTGTCATTGCTAAGTTCTCTTAAACCAAATGTAAAATTTTTGTCGGATTGTCATTGTTTTGGCAGAGGTTATCATTACATGCTGTTTTAGATAGAAATACCTACAATCATTTGCTTACCTTAGATAAACCTTCCAAAGCTTATCTTTTTTTTTTCTGTGTTAATTATCACTTAATAGTACTAATTGATCACTTTAGTACAAATGTTTTTACCTTGAAAAATGTTACTGTTTCATGTCTATATTTAAAATTCGTTAAGTTATTAGCTACCTGCCAAACACAAAGATAATTTAGTAGTTAGACCATTGTACTGGATATGACAGAATATTTAGTTAAATGCTATTTAAAAAAAGACTTATTACATAATTACTTAAGGGAAGATAATGTTGAACTTAAAGTAGTTTCAGCTCTCTGAGAATAGAATGTCATATGACAACAGTGTTACCTTTTCTGTATGTTTCTGTACATTTGTTATGATAAAACAAGTAAAATACATGAAATAAGAAAATGAATCCTCCTCTGATTTGAACACCTGATCTGAAGATAAGCAGGCAATTGGCATATCAACAAGGCCAACATTCCCCTGCTTGAGCTGCACAGAAAAATTAAATTTTATATACTACTTTAGGCAGAAGTGCACAAATTGGGCTCTGGTTTTATCATTTTATGCTCCTTTAGCAATAAACTGCAATTAATTTTTTCTTGCAATTTACCAAAGTTTTTTTGGCCACACTCTTCATTTCACAAGGGGAATCGAGTGGGATGTCAACAACATTCATTAATGTCATGACATACATCTATATAGGCTGCCTCTTTAAGATCCCAAGGATCAAAATTAAATGAATTATTATATTGAAAACTCTTGGGTAGATTAAGGATTTTCATTTTCTGCACCACCCCCAGATTTGGCTGGTTGCTCCTCTTTTCAGCCTCTATGTAGGTAATTTGGAATTTTATTGGCCCAATTCTCTCTTATCACCTGACAAGGTTGTGTAGCACTACACCTCTTATGACACTTGGACATCCTATGTAAAAAAAAAAAAAAATAATTTTTCGTACTGTTTTTTAATTTTCTTCAGAATCTGCTTTTTCTATGCCAATGAAATTTAAAATTATAAAAATTTATTAATTCATCATTCAGAATGGAGACCTCTGTTTCTTCTTCAGGTAAATAAATTCCAGATTACACACACACACACATATATATATATATATATATATATATATATATATATATATATATATATATGGTATAGCTGGCCACTCATATTCAAGGACATCTGTCTACTAGGGTGGCTAGCCAATCCCTATTGCAAACGCTTGCTCAGGCACATTTGTGTTTGTTCAACACCCACAGAGCCCACCTGTGGTTTATACTGCAACTATGCTGAGCAGACCTTAGTTACAGATTCTGGGAAAGAGTGTATGATCAACAATTTGAACAAGGCCAGCACGCTCAAACCCTCAGTCACAATGACTTGTGACTTGTGACTTTGTGCTAGCACAGCTATCGATGGCCCCCAAGGGTACTGTCTATCCAATTTCACTCACAAGGCTTGGGTCAACCCGTGGTCAGGCACTTTCCAAAGGTGCCGCAAGCTGTGATCGCCACTTCTAGACTGATAACATCAGGAAATCTCCTTCCTGACAAATCAACCGTGGTGAGGTTCATACCCGGGTCTCCTGGTCAGAAAGCAAATGTTCTGACCACTCGGTCACGTGCCCATATATAGAATCTCATTAAGGCATGTCTCATTGAATAATTTAGACAAGTTTTGTCTACTTGTTTTCAATTCTTATTAAAGGAAGAGAGAAAATTACTATGTTGATACATATTCATTTATTCCGAGTACTTTCGACATTAGCACAATGTCATCATCAGGGTGTTGTTGTTTTTTGAAGACAATATTGTTGCGTTCGTCTGAAAGTTTTTGTTTTTTTTTTTTGACTAAAGTGAAAATTAGAGTTATGTACTGTACGATTTAAATTTCACAATGTAAACATCTGGGAGATAACTAAGTTCTGAAACTTTTTTTTTTTTTAAAAAAAAAAACATATGGACATTTCAGGACATGTCTTACATACACACACACACACACACATATATATTTTCTGTTTATACAGTTTTTTTATGGATACACTTATTTGAGTAAATCGCCTGTTTTTTAATTAAACAGTGTTAATTATATTTAATGGCCTGAATGTTCAAGAAATTTTGTTGTAAATGTGTTCTTTGACAGGAATCGAACCTGTATCCTATACAGAACCATCATTAAGCCTGACATGCTATGACTGTTCAGCCACAGAGAACTTCTGGTTAACAAAAGCAGAAATTCTCTGTGGCTGAATGGTCATAGCATGACAGATCTATATAAGATACAGGTTCGATTCCTGTCAGAGAATGCATATTTTCTACAAAATATCTTGAACACTCAGGCTGATATATATAGTTAATACTGTTTAATTAAAAAAAAAATAGACCATTTACTCAAATAAGTGTATCCATAAAAAAAAAAAATGTATAAGCAGAAAATATATTAAAATATTTGTTGGATTTAATCCATATATATATATAATCTGGAGAAAATATTATTAGTGCATTAAAGTTTTTCTTCCTTGGGTGTTTTTTGGGCTTGTGAGAGTCCAGTTTTATATCTGGTAAAAATAGTTTTAAGTCATTTGCTTCTCTGATGGAACATAACTGTCATGCTGGTCAATTTCTGGGTTCATTAAAAATTTTGTCTTTTGGTTCATTCTTGGATTTTGCAAAACTTTAGCATTTAGCATTCTCTTCCTTGTTCTGGTCATCCAAGACCAGAACAAGGAAGAGAATGCTAAATGCTTGGATCCAACCAAATAAGAAAAATGTCCATTTTGT